GGGTGGTCGTTTTGCGCAGTGGATAGCGCACTTGCATTTCACCAAGGCGGCCGCGGTTCGATTCCCCAATCGGACGTGAAAAGGTATCGGTTCACCTGCCCGACCACGTGGGTTTTATGTTGAAATAACTTGTTTCATAACTGTTGTAAAATAGATAAAGCTTATATTTTGTATTATAAAAATGATTTGTGGAAGTTATTATTTCCAATCTTCACAGCATCTACAAACACGACTCTTCATTTTATAGTTCTAATCAAGTAGCATAAATAAAGATATTTTCACATAAACACTAATGTAACTATCAACCTGACAAGGTGACTAACAGGCACGGCAGCCATTAGAGAGGGTTACAGGATGGATTGGTTTGGTTTGGTTTAGTAGTGTTTAACGTCCTATCAACAGCTATGGTCATTTAAGACGGACTCCCCTGTGTGCAAGATGCATGCATGCAGTGTATGCATGTGTGTTTTGGGAGGCTGTGATATGTTCGTGTTTATCTCCTTGTGATTGCGCGGAACTGATGCCGACTTTATAGTGCTACCTCAATGAAACAGACTCCCAACAGGACACCCCACCCGGTCACATTCTACTGACAACGGGCGAACCAGTCGTCCCACTCCTAAATTGCTGAGCGTTAATTAAGCAGGAGTAGAAACTACCATTTTTACAGACTCTGGTATGTCTAGGCCAGGGGAGAGAACCCAAAGCCTTCCTCACAGGGGCGAACGCTCAACTTAAGGCCAAAAGTGTGAGGCATTATCAATGGAGACATTAGGAAGAAGAAAGTTGTTTAGAAAGAAGAGAAAAGTTAAGAGGATGGAAAAGACGCCTTTACTGCCTTTCTTTATCTAGACTGTGAATAAAAAACAACCAAGAATGTAACAGACAATACAGGGTGAGAATCATCATCATGTTTATCATACTAGACTGGGAGTAAACCAATCATGGATGTAATAGAAAATACAGGGCGAGGTTCACCAACACTGCTATTTTCTTGTACACTGTAAATTACTTTATTTTCAAGGAAGATCAATTATCAATGAACCCAATTGTAAATTAAAACTTATGTGACTATTAATTCCATAGAAATATCACACTCAGGATTGAAAATTAAAGTATTCGTGAATACATATTCTACAGGCATAATTTGCAAAATACAGTACACACAAAAATATAGTGATTGACAAGAGTAAAGACTGGGTGCTCGTAAATAATATAAAGCTTTACCTATTACAGATACGGTAATACCTGGTCAAGTAAAACATGGACGAGTTAAATAATTATATCTGGAGTAGGTTGTCTGGTCCCAGCCGTTTCCCAATATAAATGTAATAACTTGGTCCACAAGTAGCTAACACCGGTGACTTGAAACTTCCGGTTCTGACCCTATTTCATTATCATAAATTCATTTCAAACTACTAGTTCAAACTCACCTGGTATGTCAATGTAAGGGGTGAGGAATAACCAATACAGGTACCACATACCACACAGGACACCTTTATGAGTAGAAAATGATGTATAAGTCACGTGTGTGTCCTTGAACTCTTACCTTGACCTCTGTGACAATTATGCGTTAATTCTTTAATATGGGAGTGGGGCATCAGTGTCATTCGAAACATTTCTAGTTATATTTGTTCTAGCACTAGTACTGAACTTTATAGTTTTGTTTTACCAGTGGTCAATTATGGTATTGATGGAAAGTTCAGATTCCAAGAAGAATGAGCTAATGAGCTTTAACTTTTGACTAACACATTATTCCAAAAAATATGAAAGCATATTTAACCTTTGATTCATTTCAAGCATTGCTTTCCTTTATTTATATCATAAATAGCTGAATCTGTGTCATATCAAATATACATGTAGTACACATGACTTAACGGCTATTGTCATACGTGATATAAAATACTTGAAAAATGCCAAGTATAAAGGTATGCCAATTAAAAAAAGCTGCAATTTTCTGCTGTATACTGTATTTGAACTTTCATATTTCCTACCATGGTACTTCAAATACACATATACTGAATTCCCAATATGATCAAATTTTGTAAGCGAGTGGATGGTTTACAACACATTTTCAGCTCTAATTGGCTTCAATAGACAACATTTTCTCCCACCCTTCATGGGTGTGTCTGTCTCCTTCTTAAGCCGGAACAGATCAGCTTGTCAATCCCTAGGGGGAGATAGCCTCGTGCATAACAATAGTATGACGTCACGTCAACAGTACAGCAGACCATGGAAGACAACTCGAGTTTGTTGGGAAAACATGCAATCGACGCTTATATTTCATGCAATCATCGCTTGTCGGCGGATTTGTGAGTGAAACAGGATCATCCCCTACCTTGAGCGTGTGACAGAGAAATCTCCAAACCCTCGGGATGATATTCTCGAATTTCTTACCCTCGGCAAAGCCTCGGGTAAGACATCAAGAATATCACCCCTCGGGTTGGAGATTTCTCTATCACACTCTGATGGTAGCGAAATATTCTATTAATCATTGTCAGTATCATAATCTGTCTGAAAAGGAGCTGACTCCATCAGAGTGTAACTATTTGTTCCAGCAATTTTGTGACATGATGTTCTGAAACGTCCCTAGATTATTTTTTTCTCCATTTAATATTTAAAAAATAATAATAACGTATCGTCTAGTCCTTATAGTTTCCGCGCATTATATATTTCCGCCCAGCCCTTTTATTAAGCTATATCTCGTTACTACGTGACCTGCTGGACACTACACAAGTATAATTTAGACGTTTGGTCATCATCTGTAAAAACACCAAAAATTACCGGAAGTTCGCCCGGAAAACATGAGAATTAATCACTGATTAAAAAAACGCACATAAATATGCATTTTTCTCAATACACTTTTTATCTTTCTCAAAATAAACCCATAAGAATAATATATTTCATCCATGAACCAGTCTTTTTTCTTGTCTGGCAAACGTACGAAAATGTCGTGTGTAAATTTAAATGAGGCCACATCTCCTCGCCGATTTCTTTCCACTTCCGAAGAGCCAAGGAGACATTCTTATATCGATAAACACAGTTTGCAATGAAACGTAAACCTTGTAACTAATGCAATGAACTTCCAATTTTCACCAATTTTAAACAGAATAAAATGAGATATAACCATCAACCAAAACCGATATAAGACTGCACAACAAAATTAATAACAGATTCTATTATAACTAAATTATTAAAATAAATAAATTTACACGCGGGCCACTACGGAGAATTTCTTTCTTTGCGTTCGAGTTATCTTTCTTTGAACACTAAATCAAAATAGATACACGAAAGCATATGACGGCTACTTCCGACGGGAGAGATTTGTTAAAAAGTATTTGTTCTGATAAATTAATACAGTTTTATGTTAGATTAGTAGATTGTGTATTAGTCCGAATTATACTGAAGTTTTATCGACTTTTTTTTTATATCGGTCTGTCGTCGATAAAGTCGATGAAACGTCAGAATAATTCGGACTAATTGTGTACATGTCTATGACAGTCATCCGTAATTTCAACAGTTTTCTACCGATATGAGTACAAAATCGCGGATGCTTCTTGAAGTGCGCGGAAACCGATAACACGAGGCTAATGTACTGTGGACGTAGTGAATCTTCTCTCCTCGATCCCCTGGTCATAAGTATGATTGGAAGAGGTTCACTGTCAGAGTTGGCCTGATATTATTTGGAATGTTGTACATTTTCTTTTCCTGCTATTTTTTCACAAGAGACAAAATGCTACATTGTGAAAAAAATCATCATCTAACACAACACTAAATAATTCATCTACTTTCATTTATGCATGACCTTCGTTGACATTGACATTTTAGTTAAAGCAAGAATGCACATTACATGTGTACGCAAAGGTAGAAAAGTAATCAAATAGAAGATAAGATTACCTTGAAGTGCTCTATGTTTCCCAAAAATGTGTGTACGTTTTTAGCTCACATGGCCCGTTTCTCTTTTGAACGACTTCTTCTGAAGAACTGGAGGACCTAGAGTAATAATATTTGGCCAGTAGGTGTCTGGGATGGAGTGCTTTAAAGTTTCCTTATTAAATTGACATTGACCTACTTTCAAGGTCACAAGGGTCAAATATGTTAAAAATATTAAACAGCAATGTCCTAAGAACTGCTTGGACTAGAGTCATGATACTTGGGTATATTATGTAGACCAGCAGTGTGAAATATTTTCTTTATTACAGTAATGAGGTCAAAGATAAACTTTAAGTGCTAGTCAGGGGTCAATGGTTAACAAGGGTTAAAGATTTAACAATATTATTCTCAAGTTCCATGAGGCCCAGGGTCGTGATATTTGGCCAGCAGGTGCCTGGGATCGAGTGCTTTGAAGTTTCCTCATTGAAATGGCATTGACCTTCTTTCAAGGTCACAGGGGTCAAATTTGTTAAAAACTTCAAACAACAATATCCTAGGAACCATCTGGACTAGAGTCATACTACTTGGGTTTGTTATGTAGACCATCTGTGTGAATCTTCTTCTTTGTTACATTATGAGGTCAAAGGTCAACTTTAAGTGCTAGCCGGAGTCAACGTTCAACGTAAATTTAAAGCTTTAATATTACAATTTCAAATTTCAAACAACAATATATTAAAAACCGTCTAAGAGTTGTTAAAATGTTTTGTTTTCTAGTTAACAAATTTGGTCTGAAGTTACATATATGCCAGTGTCATGTAACAAAAGAAACAGGTGAGCGATACAGGCCCTCTAGGCCTCTTGTTCGTCTGTTTGCGTTTGTCTGGAAAAACCCGGAAATGATTACAAACTGAGTCTCGTTGACGCTTAAATTTACGTTTTGTGTTTTCGTTCTAGACAATATCAAACTCCTTCATATGGGATATTTGTATATAAAATATCATAAAAAGTTAATTTAAATTGAAAGTGGGACATCGATATTTGGTGAAATTATCGAAAAATTATTTCCGGGTTATGCTTTAGATTTCTCGCTTTCACGCTGCATTAAAGCGTTGTGGTGATTACGATTATCATAAACATTTTACACGTGTTCTACGTATACATGTTGACGGGATACAATGATCGACGAAGCCGACGACTGGTTATTTGATTCCATAGCATTGTAAATATGTTATTATGTCACATAACACCTCACGGTTTTCATTTCAATTTGTTTTATGAAATTGACAGGATGAATGGAGCAGAAGCACAAAATATCCTAGCCCGAGTTTCCTCTGCACCAGACCTGTTTGACAGATATAGGCCTAGATGTCTGGTGTGGGACATCTATCTGTCAAAATGTCTAAGTCTGGTGTCAGGGCCAGAGGAAACTCGGGCTAATCACTATCATATCTTAATCAAACAGTAAAACTCACCATCCTGCTATCATCAGATTTTTTCTCAAAGATACAGTAGCATGTTACAGAAGTGTGTTTTGAGTCTTCAAAATTTTAGAAGGAATATACATAGTAGATCATGAAAATATGTTCCAAAAGGCACAAACGAACGTAACAAGAGGCAGTACCAGGACATTATTTAAACAGAGGAAATGTAAACTTGTCTACAGCAACAACTTCTGTAACAGGGTGATAGATATCTGGAATAAATTCCCAGACAATGTAAATTCTCCAAATCCGAACACTTTTAAGACGGACTCATTAAGTTTTGAAAAAAAAACCATCAGTTCGTATTTGAGGCACAGTGCTATCTGCATACCTGATTATATTTCTCCTTATTCAAGCGCATCACACCGGAGGTGTAAATACTGGATAATCAAAGTTTTTAACTGTGTCAAAATGCGCCCTAAGAAACTATAGCTTTCCATTGGCATCTACAACTATGTGAACTATGCATACTTTCTGTATTATAAGGCCTCTATTTTAGTGTTGATGTTCTACTGTTGTTAACATAATAATCAACATGTACAGAAGCTACAGATGCATACAACTACATCTACAAAGTATACATAGTCATATAAAAAGTGTAACCAGTCGTTCTTAACCACAAACCCCTAGTAATGAAAAATTGTGGTAGCAAAATTATTTAGATAGAATAAGCTAGGACACAGACTGGCATATATTTAAAGGTCCGATTAAATCAGGTCTAACAGCAGAAAAAATGGGGACCTACAAACTCTAGAAGGACATGAGCTATAAGTGAGCTTCCTTGTAACCAGCAGTCATGTGGCCAAGTCCCGCTATAGTGGTAGTACACTTCCCTCGGCCAAGTCCTGGGCCGGTATAGTGGTACTCTTCCCTCGGCCAAGTCCCACGATAGTGGTACACCTCCCCCGGCCAAGTCCCGGTATAGTGGTAGCCTTCCCTCGGCTAAGTCCCACTATAGTGGTACACCTCCCTAGGCCAAGTCCCGGTATAGTGGTAGCCTTCCCTCGGCTAAGTCCCGCTATAGTGGTACACCTCGCTCGGCCAAGTCCCGCTGTAGTGGTACACCTCCCTGGGCCAAGTCCCGCTATAGTGGTAGACTTCCCTCGGCCAAGTCCCACTATAGTGGAACACCTCCCCCGGCCAAGTCCCGGTATAGTGGTAGCCTTCCCTCGGCTAAGTCCCGCTATAGTGGTACACTTCCCTCGGGCAAGTCCCGCTATAGTGGTATACCTCCCTCGGCCAAGTCCTGCGCCGGTATAGTGGTACACTTCCCTAGGCCAAGTCCCGCTATAGTGGTACTCCTCCCTAGGCCAAGTCCTGTTATAATGGTTCACTTTCCTTGGCCAAGTCCAGCTATAGTTGTACACTTCCCTCGGCCAAGTCCCACTATAGTGGAACACCTCCCCCGGCCAAGTCCCGCTGTAGTGGTCCCACTCCCCGGACCAAGTCCCGCTATAGTGGTCCACCCCCCTCGGCCAAGCCCTGGGCCGGTATAGTGGTAGACTTCCCTCGGCCAAGTCCCGATATAGTGGTACACCTCCCTCAGCCAAGTCCCGCTGTAGTGGTACAACTCCCTGGGCCAAGTCCCGGTATAGTGGTACTCCTCCCTAGGCCAAGTCCTGTTATAATGGTTCACTTTCCTTGGCCAAGTCCAGCTATAGTTGTACACTTCCCTCGGCCTAGTCCTGTTATTGTGGTTCCCTTCCCTCGGCCAAGTCCCACTATAGTGGAACACCTCCCCCGGCCAAGTCCCGCTGTAGTGGCACAACTCCCTGGACCAAGTCCCGGTATAGTGGTACACCTCCCTCAGCCAAGTCCCGCTGTAGTGGTGCAACTCCCTGGACCAAGTCCCGCTATAGTGGTACACCTCCCTCGGCCAAGTCCTGGGCCGGTATAGTGGTACACTTCCCTCGGCCAAGTCCCGCTATAGTGGTACACCTCCCTAGGCCAAGTCCTGTTATAATGGTTCACTTCCCTTGGCCAAGTCCAGCTATAGTGGTACACTTCCCTCGGCCAAGTCCTGTTATAGTGTTACACCTCCATCGGCCAAGTCCCGTTATAGTGGTTCACTTCCCTCGGCCAAATCCCGCTATAGTGGTACATTTCCCTCAACCAAGTCCCGCCTTAATATAAGTATTTTTCTTAGTGAACTGATGATGTTATCTGCATTTTTATTTATCATCATCAAGACTGTATATATGAAGGCACCTTTTTTGAGAGAACTACCTGAAAATCTCTGATTTAAATCAATTTTACTTCCAGGTATCAGAATCTATATATGTATGATCTGCAGCATGGAATTACAGCTATGGACTGGATCGATGACAAAAGTGAGTATAGAATTTATTACTGCCTCAGACTATCAATATTTTTTTTCTAACACCTAGGTATTTTCAAATAGTTACTGTCTAATCGAAAATAATGCTGTAGGCACATTTGTAAAATAAAGTGCTAAATTAGACTCATATATGTACAATGTTTTCCAATGTCCTGTCTTATCATACAAATGTGTTATGTTCCACAGGGTGTCATGTTAGACAGGTTTCACTGTATCTTACATTAAATGGATGAGTATTGATATATAATCATGTGGTATAGATACATGTATATATCTAATAACTGTTTTATACAGCAAACTGTTCAAGGATCCATGCAGGAATAGAAAGTTAGATCCTTTTTTTTTAAAATAGGGGAAAATATGCTCTAGATATGTATAGGTGAATAACCCGTCAGGGGGAGGGTAGCTTCGAACCGACCACCAACTATGCATTAGAATAAAGTGTTTGTATGCCTGTTATAATATTGTATACTGTATATAATGTTGTTAAATATTGGCAGTGACAACATGAACACAGAAAGAATCACTTGATCAGTTGTCGAACTGACAGGCAATAAAAATAAAATAGAACCAAGACAGATAATCATGTGGTACGTAGTACATTTGTATTTCAGTTACAAGTGGGAGAATATTTAACTGAAACAGGGGAAAATAAAGCTGGAATAGGAGAGCAGAACTGGCCCATAATCGGCCGCAAAAAGGACCTGTATTATAGTGTGTACATCCGTGCTGGGTATAATTGGAAAATAATGTGAGAGGATATTAAAAATGAAAGGAGAGAGACCAATACAAACGTGAATAGAGGGGTAGGGGAGGTGGGTATTATCATAAATATTACATGCTTAAAGGCCCATCAACACAGGAGAGGTCATTCATTAGGGTCGATAAAACCAAATTTTAAGCTAAAATACTTCAATGTCAAAAGTGGCTATGGTGACTCATATATTTTGGAAAAGACTAACAGCTTTCAGATAGTTAAAAGTTATAGAGGTAGTTACTATTTCTAATAGAGATTTAACTCATTCACCCCTAACATTTTATAATGGACTATTCCAACCATTGAATTGGAAGAGTTCAAATGTGTCTTCAGGGGTGAATGAGTTATAAGGCATGTAACATTTTTATAGAAAATTTCCTTAGGTTGAAGGTCAGTGCAATCTAATAAAAAGTGTGTTAAGGTGAAAGGTTGTTGACCAGCTATGCATTGAAGCTGGTCTTAACATTTCAATACGAATGACCCATCTTGAGATGTAAATAGTGAAAAAACCACTTAAAAATATCATAAAAAAGCATCATTTTTTTTTAGAAAATATGAAATATACAACAGAAGTCCCAATAAAGGAGTGTAATGTGTTGTCTGTGCATTGATTCCAATGATTTTGCCACTGTTTTAGAATTAACAGGTGGTAGCAATAGATCTAGTTGAACTCATTCACCCCTTAAATTTCATAATGAACTATTCCAACCTTTGAACTGAAAGAGTCCAAATGTGTCTTCAGGGGACAGAAGGAGAGAAAGAATGGAAGAGAGACAGCTATGGGGAGGGGGATAGGAAAAATAGAAAGGGGATGTCAGTACGAAAGTGAAGAGCCGCCAGGATAAATGCATCCTCGAAATTCTAGGGGGTTATTATGGCTCTCACTTACGTTCTGTTCACCCCTGGAATATGTCATTACCAAATCAATAGCTCTGTACTCGCAATCTTCTTGATGACACAAAATGACTAGCTTGATCCTTTAATGTACATAAAAAGATCACACTGCAGGCCTAGGGTACAGGTGAAATTGATCAGCTTTGAAGTACAGGGTCGCTCCTCTGTAGCCTTCAAAGGACAGTTATCAGCCTAGTGATTGGTTAGTTTTCTTCACCTGAACCAATGAAATGGCTTAACCCTTTCACCACTGTAGACCATCATGGACTCTTCCAAATTAATGCATGGTAGAGTTCACTCAAGTTACATAGGGGTGAAAGGGTTAACATTCCAGGGGTATAGAGAATGTTAAAGAGTGTAGCCCCAGAATTATTTCGAGGATGGGGTAGATGAAGTTTGTTGTAAGAGAAAGAGGAGATTTATGGAGATACAGACTGCAGAACATGAAGTGAAAGTGCAGAGACTCATACAGATGGGGAGAAAAAGAGAGAGAGAATGAGGTAAAAAATACAGTAGAAGTGGAGGAAAGAAGTTTACATCTTACACAGTCCATGTTGTTCTTCACAGATGTATGTATCGCCACATCCAGTGGGAGTAAGCATGAGCTGGCTGAACTCCACCTTCCTGACAAACTCCTCAAAGCCAGCCAGGAGAAAGCCGTAAGTTACAATCTTAATTTACGTATACTTTTTATACACCCGTCAAATTTGATGGGAGTATTATGGTATGGGTTCGTCCGTCCGTCCGTCCGTCCGTCCGTCCATCCATCCATCCATCCTTTCGGCGTAAACTTTTGTCTGTCCGGCAATCTCCTCCTACATTTTTCGACGGATCTTTTTGAAACTTGCATTTGGTATACATTATAATCATGATATGATGTTGTGTCTCCCTTTATTTTGATTTCGACAATTTTTGCAAAAGTTATTCCCCTTTGTTTATTTCAGTATTTGATTTTTGTCCAGCAATCTCCTACATTTTTCAACGGATCTCTTTGAAACTTATTATATATTATCATCATGATATGAAGTTGTGTCTCCCTTAAAAGAATTTTGATTCAACGATTTTTGCAAAAGTAATTGCCCTTTGTTCATTTCAGTATTTGATTTTTTGTCTGGAGATTTTCTTCTACATTTTTTATAGCATGTTAGCTAACCACTCTTAGAATGATGCAGATCTTATTTCAATGTAAGAAAGTATATAACACTATATGGTATTCGACGGGCGTATATTGTTCTGCCCCGCGGTATTCTTGTTACCTGTTATATACAGTATCTCTTTAACCCTTTCACCACTGTAGACCATAATGGACTCATCCATATGAATGCATGGTAGAGTCTACTCAAGTTACATAGGGGTGAAAGGGTTAAATGTATACAGATAACTTCACTCAAGGCCAGGAACTCTATAATTCTGTTGTCAGTATAAATAATATACAGATAAATGTAGGTTTGGACTAGTACATAATTAAAATACTAAACTAACATTTATGATACAAATTGTTTTTTGTAAATTGGAAATCATGTTATGTTTTTATATGCCCGTCAAATTTGACGGAAGTATTATGGTATGGGGTTGTCCGTCCGTCCGGCGTAAACTTTTGTTTGTCCTGCAATCTCCTCCGGCACTTTTCGACCGATCTCTTTGAAACTTGGTATACATTTATAATCATGATATGTTGTTGTGTTTCCTTAAACAGAATTTTGATTCAACAATTTTTGCAAAAGTTATTGCCCTTTGTTTGTTTCAGTATTTGATTTTTGTCCGGCAATCTCCTCCTACATTTTTCAAAGGATCACTTTGAAACTCGGTATACATTAAAATCATGATATGAAGTTGTGTATCCCGCAAAAGAATTTTGATTCAACAATTTTTACAGAAGTTATTGCCCTTTGTTCATTTCAGTTTTTTGATTTTTTGTCTGGAGATTTTTATTTTGCATGTCAGCTAACCACTCTTAGAATGATGCAGATCTTATTTCATTGTAAGAAAGTATATAACACTATATGGCATTCCACGGGCGTATATTGTTCCGCCCCGTGGTACTCTTGTTTGTGTTTGAACTTGCTCACACTTTAATGTCCAACAATAATTCAATGTTACCAACTGATGCAAATTGCACCTCTGATTTTTTATACTCCACACAAAGTTGGATGTAAAAAGCAAATAAAGTTGGATGTATATATTATTTGCCTTGTGCATCCATCCAGTTTCTGGACCATTATCTCAGTCAAATTATGTTTTATGTAAGGACTTAAGACTTTGTATACATGTACACTACATGTATGTAGTACATTTTGATATATATATATATACACCCTGATAATTCATTATGGCGATAACAAAATAGGCACACCTCAACAACTACTTGACCTTTGACTTTGAACTCTGGTACTCAGGAATACAGCATATCCAGAACACCATCCTCGATATCCAGGGGTTATATGCTCCCTTTCGGTCTCGGAACCCCTGGACTATGTCATAGCAAAATCAAAGGCTCAATGTCCACTGCCTTGTGGATGAGACGTCAAGAAGGCTAGTTTGATCCTTTGATGTACAGTCGGGCGTTGTCCTCTGTAATCTTCAAAGGACAAGTATCAGCCTAGTGATTGGTCAGGATTTTTTTTACCTGACACCAATCAAATAGCTAGCTGCATGTCTTCAATTTTGCTATGACTTATTCCAGGGGTGCAGATCGAGAGCGAATGTGAGTGTAACCCCTGGCTATCGAGGATGCCTGGACACTCTATGTATAGACTTCAGACTTGGTTTGTTGGTAGAACATCATGAAAAATCACTGTGCATGTGTTGCATTCAAAAATGGGAACACAACAACCTCCGTTTGAACTTTTACCTTGATCTCAAGTACCAAAGTGCAGGTTTTGAGAGCATATTACATTCTGGTACTGTTTCATATGTATGAACTTCAGGTTCATTATGTAGGTACATCATGAGAAGTTACCATTTAAAATACCAAAATGGGAATGCAGCAACCTCTATTTCACCTTTGACATTATAAGTACCAAACTACAGGTTTCTGGATCATATACTGTACATACCACCGTTTCCTGTATGGACCTGAGACTTGGTGTTAAGGTACATTATCAAAAAGTGCTGTTTTCAGCACTATAAACAATGGACGCAGTAACCTCTCTTTGACCTTCAACTATGTAGGTACATTATATATATATGGACCTCAGACTATATAGGTACATTATATATATATATGGACCTCAGACTATAATGTTGGTACATTTTATATTTTATGGACCCCAGACTATGCAGGTACATTATATATATATGGACCTCAGACTTTGCAGGTACATTATATATATATGGACCTCAGACTATGTAGGTACATTATATATATATGGACCTCAGACTATGTAGGTACATTATATATATATGGACCTCAGACTATATAGGTACATTATATATATATGGACCTCAGACTATGTAGGTACATTATATATATATATGGACCTCAGACTATATAGGTACATTATATATATATGGACCACAGACTATGTAGGTACATTATATATATATGGACCTCAGACTTTGCAGGTACATTATATATATATGGACCTCAGACTATGCAGGTACATTATATATATGGACCTCAGACTATGTAGGTACATTATATATATATGGACCTCAGACTATGCAGGTACATTATATATATATATGGACCTCAGACTATGTAGGTACATTATATATATAAGGACCTCAGACTATATAGGTACATTATCAAAAAGTGCTGTTTTCAGCACTAAACAATGGACGCAGTAACCTCTCTTTGACCTTCAACTTTGTAGGTACAATATATATATGGACCACAGACTATATAGGTACATTATATATATATATATAAGGTACCTATATAGTCTTAGGTCCATATATATAATGTACCTATATAGTCTTAGGTCCATATATATAGAATGTACCTGCATAGTCTGGGGTCCATAAAATATAAAATGTACCAACATTATAGTCTGAGGTCCTTATATATATATATAGATCACAGTATATATATATATTATATATATATATGAACCTTCAACTATGTAGGTATATTATATATATATGGCCCTCAGACTATATAGGCACATTATATATATATGGCCCACAGTCTATATAGGTACATTATCAAAAAGTGCTGCTTTCAGCACTAAACAATGAACCCATGTACAGTAACCTCTCTTTGACCTTCAACTATGTAGGTATATTATATATATATGGCCCACAGTCTATATAGGTACATTATCAAAAAGTGCTGCTTTCAGCACTAAACAATGGACGCAGTAACCGCTCTTTGACCTTCAACTATGTAGGTACATCATATCTATATATGGACCTCAGACTTTGCAGGTACATTATATATATGGACCTCAGACTATGTAGGGACATTATATATATATGGCCCTCAGACTATATAGGCACATTATATATATATATGGACCTCAGACTAATGTTTTTATATGCCCGTCAAATTTGACGGGCATATAAAAACATTAGTCTGAGGTCCATGTATATATATAATGTACCGATATAGTCTGAGGTCCTTATATATATATATAGATCACAGTATATATATATATTATATATATATATGAACCTTCAACTATGTAGGTATATTATATATATATATAGATCACAGTATATATATATATTATATATATATGGACCTCAGACTATGTAGGTACATTATATATATATGGACCTCAGACTATGAGGTACATTATATATATATATGAACCTTCAACTATGTAGGTACATTATATATATATATGGACCTCAGACTATGAGGTACATTATGAGAAGGCACTTAAATGTGTTTCACATTGAAATGGGAACATGGCAACCTTTGTTTGACCTATCACCTTGACCTTATGTACTGATATAGAAATTTCTGGACAATGTCTACTACCCAAAGATAAATATACGGGACTGTACTTGGTGTGCATGCACATCATTTTTGAGTGGGAGTCACATACCAAAATTGAGTTGCTGCAACTTGTAGTTTCATATGAAATGTGGTGTGGGCCGGGGTATCCACCACCAGCCCTTCTTAGAGCTCAATATTGTTTATTGTATTGATATAAAGTAAAACACTATAACATTTTGAACAAGATTAAATTATTGCATTGATTAATTTTGCATACGAATCACTGTTTATAGGGTCTGATAAAGAACCGTGATTTCCACATGAATGCTGGCTGTTACTGTCCTCACAGAGTGGCCTGTCTTAAGCATGTCCCCAACTCAAGGTAAATATAATACATGATGTTGTCATACATGATACATATACGCTTTGAAAGAATTTAGTTAAATTAATACGAAAACAAAATAATAGGATTGATGTATTCAGTTCATGTTCAAGTATAAATTGGGACCTGTTTGTTGGCTTTTAATTGAGCTGGTCAATTTTATCCATGTACGATAGAAAATATCAAAAATTAAAAAAAAGATTGATGATGTTTATATTGAAAGAGTAAGCTTATTCTTATAAGTACATGTGTACCAGTAGATTTAATATGAGTGTAACATCACTGTACCCAAATCGGGACACTTTTTAGATTAGTATTAATGTTCTTTATACCATACTATCAGTTCCAAAAATGTTTGTTCATTTTTCATAAATAGATAGTATCCACTTTTCATCTGTATTACAAGTTGATATTTTGGGTGCGTGGTTCTATGAATAAAACCTGAAATACCATCAGGGTTACGTAGGCCCTTGATCCAGTGTAACTGTACCCTGAAAGGGACACCGGTAATATTCAGGAATAAACAATCAATATCAGCAGAAATGAAGACATATTTCCAATATTTTAGAATCAAACAGGGTTATGATTAAATTTCTTCTCCAAACTAGCATTAGTTTTGATAAAAGTACTTCTTTGCATTGAATGACAGTTTCTTGGGCCGTTTTCCTTCAAGTGTCCCGTTTTGGGTACTGTTCCGATTTGGGTATTGTCCCGATTTGGGTACAGTGACGATAGTGGAACTAGACTGGGTCGTTTGTCTGCGACTAGCTAGGTAGCTCAATTGGAAGAACATCCATCTAGAGCTCGATGGGTCATGGGTTTGAATCCTAGTCTAGGTTTGCAATTCTCTTTCTCCTAATTACATGAGGATATGCTTGCAAGACTTGATAAAGTCATAGTCAATTCTCTCAAACTACAATGTAGTTATCATGATCACTTATACCACAAAAGAAAAATTAACTTTGGTAGAAACACATAATTTGACTTCTCTGATCAAGAGAAAACTTGATATCAGATGTGATGTAGTTGTTTTGGGAGATCTATGTATATTAAGTCACCCCAATTAATTGACACCTAGGATTATTTGATTACCTGTTGTTTCCTAATAATTTGACAGCCATAACACATTACTATTTTGCAAAAAGATGGGTACCTAAGAACCACTTGCATATACACAACTGACAATCGTTACAGATTTATATGGTGTGAGAAATGGGTAAGAGACCTGAAGTGGGCTTCTCACATGATGACCAATATTGTACTCTTTAAAACCAATGATGCCAGAACTTGTTCTCTCAAGATTTTGTTTGAAACCTTAATTAAATAAAAAAAAGGACACAAATATCCCTATAATAACACCAGAGAAGTGTGGATTTCTAACATATGTATATAAATTAACCTATCTTTTGTATTGAATATGCTCAAAGAAAAAGGATCTAGGAATGTGTGAAAAAGTATCATAGAGAAAGAAGTCCTATAGAAGTCATATTTATCACATATTGTACTGTGTTATCCAATGAATATATACCTATGTCTTTTTTTTGTTTTGTGTATTAACCCATGTAAGATGACCTATCAGCCTTGTGATTGGTTGTAAGTTTCAATTGTGATGTCAAGCCTAGGACAAGTACATGACGTCACAGACTTACGCACTGGAGATAAAATGGTGGGATTTTGAAAATTGTCGTTTTACACGAATAATTGCCACAAATTTTGATTATGTGATAAAAAGGATTTTACACTCGTTTTCATTTCATATGAAATTTATGAAACTCGTCACAAATTTTTTACTTGCCAGAGGCTTGCTAAATTGAAAAATTCTTACGACTCATTTCATAAATCTCATATGAAATGGAAACTCATGTGAGATCCTATATTTATGATTTGTTTATAAACTATACCTTTAACACATACATGTATGTATCTGACGTCCACCCAGAACAATAGCTACCTGTCCTGACACAGAAGCATGTAAGATACAGTTCTGGAAGCTTGGCACTGACGACACTGGTAGGTGGATAATGCCTTTCTGTAATCTCAATCTAAAACATGATGGCTACGTGACAGATATATGTACTACATTGCGTGGTCAGGTGGCGTGGTGGATAACGCTCTTAATAATGCTTTTCACCAAGGCGACCAGGGTTCCATTCCCCAATCAGACGTGAAAAGGTATGGGGTCACCTGCCCGACCACGTGGGTTTTCTTTGGGTACTCTGGTTTCCTCCCATGTTAAGACCCCCGGCGCACTAATATCCAGGCCGACACGAGTGATTAATATAAGTTGAAATAACTTGTTTCATAATTGTTTTAAAAAAAAAAGTTTATAGTACATTGTATGAAGCCATTCGTGTTGTGTTGTACTGCTATTCAGATAATAAGGCAGGTGATACTATTTTATGAAATGTGAAGTGCAAATATTAAAGACACATCTTCAGACAAGACCATTTTACAATCTTTTTTCAGAATCTCTGTTTCGAAATTTGTACTTAATTTTTTTTTATCCCCCACTTTCACCGAAACGGGGGATATTAGTTTGGGTTTGTCTGTCTGTCTGTCACACTTTGTTTCTATGCAATAACTACAACAAATGTTAACTGATTTTCTTCAAACTTGGTCACAGGGTTAAATACCTTCAGGGTTAGGCCAAGTTCGATGACCACTTTCAGCGAACCACATTTAGCGGAGTTATGGCCCCTTGAATAATGAAAAACGTAATTATGTGCTTGGTTAAAAGTTGTTTCTGTGCAATAACTACAACTAATTAAATGTTAACCGATTTTCTTCAAACTTGGTTACAGGGTGAAATGCCTTAAGGGCTCAGCCAAGTACGATGACCAGCAGACTTTATTTGGCAGAGTAATGGCCCCTTGAATAATGAAAAACGTCATTATCTGCCGTTTCTGTTCATTAACTCTGGCAAATATTATCCGATTGTCTTCAAACTTAGTAACAGGGTTCAACACATTAAGGGTGCGGCCAAGTTTGACAACCATTTTTATCAGACTCCATTTGGCAGAGTTATGGCCCCTTGATTAATGAAAAACGTCATTATCTGCATTTTAGCCAAATTCCGTCAAACTTGATAACAATTTAATATTTAATGTTTGTGTTCCTCTGTCTTTCCACCCATCTCGGGCTTTTTGGATTTCGTGTGCTAATTGTTGTAGATATTGTTAAGATGTTTCAACCAAATTCCTTATGCACATCCAATCCAATTCATGCAAAGTTTGCCAACTGATGTGATTTGTGCATATTTACGGATAATCGATGAGGTATAGGGCTTTTTTTTTCTTCAAGTTTCAAGCTATACATTATGTCTCAACAGCAAGGTACTCACATGTTTAAACCTAACCTCAATATTGTTAACCTATAATATGTCCTGCCAGTGGGGGATATAAATTCCAGGAATTTGCTTGTTATCCATGCTTTATACATTGTTCATCAGAAAATTATAATTAAATTGGAACATATTTATTAATTTTCATGTGAGAATTAACATGTTGTAAATAATGTAGGTATGGTGTGGTTTGGTATCAGTGAGGTTCACCAGTTATTCTTAAGTAAAACAGTTAATTTGTTCATATTTTTCAGATGTGATAAGAAATATATCAACTGTAGAGAATACTCATAGTAAAGGGTAGGTAACTCTGCCAGTGCTGTTGACAGCCATAACATAACAACATAAATGGGTCTTTATCGTTGAGGGGACAGAACTGGACTCTTTCATGCCCAGGGGTTAAGGAAAGGGAATTCCACCCGAGGGGTTTTCAAATTTGGAAAATCTCGAGGCTTTGTCAAGGGTTTTGCCAAATTTTAAAATCCCGGACTGGCCATCGTTTTGAAAATATCATTTTTCCCCCCAAGCTTTTTAGACGAAAACGAATTAGCCAGCCAGATTAAGCGTATCCCATATTTGTAAACAATGTTTGGGCAGAAGAACGGTTTTAATTTCATTATGTCACCTTTTCCGCATTGCGGCATGGAAGAGTTCCAAATTTCACGTCATTGTTGAGCCGTTGTGACGTCACATCACGTGAAATTGGGTGTATTAGATAGAAATTTCCTACACCCCTTTCTTACCCTGGACAGCTCTATCTTACACACACGGAAATGAGAGAAGTATATGTATATAAGCAGCTAACTACTAAAGTGATATATGAAAAAATAATTTAAAAAAATGTTAAGTTTCTTTTGATTTTTAATCTGCATTAAGAGGTTGAGTGAGAAATTGAAAATTTTAGAGTTAGCTGGATTTGTGGATATCAGGTGGCTGTTGGGAGGTGCTGCTGCTTTGGGTATAGATATATGGTAGTGTAGGGGATGAAGTAAATTTTTCGGGCTTGGAGTCATAGATTGTTTTTGGGTTTAAGGATTGGTGGGACTTGGGGATGCACAGGTGTTTAGTTTGTAGATGAGATAGGGATAGTAGGTCCGAAGGGTGTTTATAGAGGTACAGCTTTGACGGGCCGAGTGGTGAGAAGAAAGTTTGGGATTTTGATCATAGTAGGTGTACATGTATATGTATGAGATATTATTTGCCATATACAACCAATCAAGTGATGGGTAAAGATAAATCTGTAATGTGTTTCAATCTGGTCTTGTTTGACAGAAGCCCAGCTCACATCACCCCTGTACCAGGTACAGAGAACCTGGTGTTTGGGTCTCACCTGGATAATCTATGTACAGTCGACAGTAACACAGGACAGGTCAGCTGTACAGGTAAGGACATTGGTTTACCATTAAATGTCAAAGTCTCTTTTGAAAATCAAAAGTCCAATAATTTGTTGTATTGATACGAATTAGGGCAATAGACAAGTGTAAAAGATGTCAGCTGTACGGAATTTCCCTTTAGCTCAGCGGTAGAGCATCAGGCTGGAGAGGCAAGGGTCGCAGGTTCGAGCCCCAGCGACAGCACTATCTTTATCACTATATCTGGTCCTACTACAAAATGCTGCCGTTGACCCTCTCTGTTCAAGTTAGGAGTAGGTATACCCGTAGCGGGGAGTCGCAGAGCCTGGGTTGGTGTTAGAAAAATGAGGGGAATAGTGTACAAGATGTACATTGATTAGGTTGCCTTACAAGCGTCAGCTGTACAGAATTTTCCTTTAGCTAAGCTGTATATAGCATCTGGCTGGAGAGCCAAGGGTTGCAGGTTCAAGCCCATGCGGCGGCACAATCTTTATCACTATATCTCATCCTACTACAAATGTAGTTAATTGACAGATCATCATATTTCATTTTTCTAAAATTTTATAACCTCCAAATCACCCAGCTACATGTTAAAACCTATGAAATAATTTGAAATTGATTACTTACACATACCCAGTGAATTTTGTTTAATATGATTATCATATATATATATACAGGGATTGTACTATTTATAGGTATCCTATGTTGTAGGCTGTCAAAGATCTGAGAGGATTAGCTCTATGGACTTTACAGATAGCAACACATTAATATGCTGTTGTCAAGAAACCGGTGAACTTGTCACCTTTGACCTTAGAGAAGACTTGACAAAGGTCAAACAGGAACACACAAATAATATTTCTTTAGATCAAAAATGTTTCTGGACAAGTACTGTGACTGAATTCGGTGTACTCAAATTGTCATCTACTGGTGAAGTTAGAAGGGTTGAAAAGCACAATTGGAGTACAGATGTCGGTCGCTGGAACACAGAACTGAATCTGTTATCAGACTTCAGTAACCTGACAATAAATGTAAGTAGCTGATTAAGTGCTTGGAGCTAAAAGTTGGAGTAATCTTTTCCTGATGATGTTCTATCCTTTAGAGTACAAATATATACATGTAGCTGCATCAACATTAAGTTTTTGTGTTTAACTTTAATTTGTTTCACTTCAAGTACAAGTGCTAGACCAACCAAACTTGAACCAAAGATGCATCCTAGGTAGTACATCTCAACCCATGCATTACCTGCTTGATGCGGCCTACCTTTCATAGTCCATTGACTTAATTGTCAGCATCTCCATCAACATTAAGTTTTTGTGTTTGAGTTAGTTTTCTCTGATATGTGCATTGATGGTCAAAGCGGGGCACAGGCGAGACATATCAATCTGAATGGCTTGTACTAAATGGCCACACTCTACCAGGTAGTCATATAATGACACACATATCTACCATTTTGGAAAGGAAGTTTTAAGCTGAATGTCATCAAAAAGAAGAATTTGTACCATAAGTCTTTCCAGGGGATCTTCAGCTTTTGTGGCTGATTTTATGCTTACTTAGCATCTTTGAATGATTGTTTCTACCATTCAAGTGCCTTTTATTTTAGGATTTAATTAACACTTGCTAATTTTTGGTTTCAAAATAAATACAAAATTAAATTACTCCAAAAAAGGGAACATGCAGTGATTACTTTGTCTGTGGTCATGCAGTGGGGAAGCTTAAGGTGGTGTACAGTTTCAGCAAAAAACAGATTTATCTTTTAAAGAAATTTTAAGATGATTATGAAACTTGCCAAGTACTCTGACAACCACTGGATTCCCATCCTCAAGGTTAGTCCTTGGTCACATTTGTAAAAACTCAATAAATCTGATGAGATCTGATTTGCTGATAATTTCCAGATGATAAAAATAAATCAAAATATGTGAAAAAGAATTTGGTGACCTACCTAACCATATGGGTCTTCCTCAATCGCTTGGTACTCTGATTTCCTCATTCTCTGGGTACACATGTTTCCTCAGTCTCTGGATACACTGGTTCTCCCTATATCTCGGTACTCATGTTTCTTCTATCTCTGTGTACTCAGGTTTCCTCAATCTCTAGATACTCCTGTTTTCTGCAATCTCTAGAAACTCTGGTTTCCTCATTCTCTGGGCACTCATGTTCCCTCAGTCTCTGAGTACTCTTGTTTCCTCAATCTTCGGGTTCTTTTGTTTCCTCAATCTCTGAGTAATCCTGTTTCCTCAACCTGTGGGAACTCAGGTTCCCTCAATCTCTGTGTACTCTGTTTTGCTCAATCTGTGGGTAATCAGTTTCCCTCAATCTCTAGGTACTCTGCTTTCTTCAATCTGTGGGTACTCAGGTTCCCTCAATCTCTGGGTACTCTGTTTTCCTCAATCACTGGGTACTCAGGTTCCCTCAGTCTTTGGGTACACTGGTTCCCTCAAATTCCTGGTACTCAGGTTCCCTCAGTCTCTAGGTAAACTGGCTCCCTTAATGTCTGCGTACTCTGATTTCCTCAATCTCTGGGTACTCCTGTTTTCCAAATCTCTTGGTACTCTTATTTCCTTAATCTCTGGGTTCTCAGGTTCCCTCAGTCTTTGGGTACACTGGTTCCCTTAATTTCTGGGTACTCTGGTTTCCTCAATCTCTTGGTACTCCTGTTTCAACAATCTCTTGGTACTCTTATTTCCTCAATCTCTTGGTACTCCTGTTTCCTCAATCTCTTGGTACTCTTATTTCCTCAATCACTGGGTACTCAGGTTCCCTCAGTCTCTGGGAAAACTGGTTCCCTTAATATCTGCGTGCTCTGATTTCCTCATTCCGAGGGTGTAATTCCCCTATCCTACAACCTTGGGCATGAAAGAGTATTTTGCTCTCATTCCAACTAACAGAATATTTAAAATCCGAAACCATGAAAATGCGTTTCGACTGGCTACCATTTTGAAAATATCAATTTTTCGCCTGAGGTTTTTAAACGAAAACGAATCAGTCAGTCAGATTAAGCATACCCTATATTTGCCAACGAAGTTTGCGATGATAAATTAATCTCATCTTTCTAATTTGTACGGTGAATATATTGTAAAAGGTTTTAATTTCGTCACGTCATTGTTGGGCCATTGTGACGTCACGTCACGTCACGTGAAATGGGGTGTAGGATAGACATTTACTTCACCCCTTTCTTACCCTGGACAGCTCTATCTTACACACATGGAAATGAGAGAGTAAAATATACCCCAATGGTGATTAAAGAGAAAAAGTCTGGTCTGCAACGTTAATTAGCTGGCTCATTGAGATTTTCTGTCCGGGTTGATACATTCCTCAACTTACTTGTAATCATTTCACAGGCAACTCTTGTCTCTTTTTTCCAGGCTTTACCTAGAAATGAAGACACAGTTTACATATCTGGTAAGTCAGCATATTTTAAATACACAATAAGGGGACATACAATTTCACCTTAGGCTGCCCCTAATAATTTATTATGTCAAGTATCGGATGACTGTCATCCTCGATATCCAGGGGTTACGCTCACTTTCGCTCTCTGCCCCCTGGAATATGTCATATATCGAAGGCTCGGTGTGTAATACCTTGTGGACTAGATGAGAAGGCTAGTTTGATACTTTGATACTTCAATTTTGCTATGACATAATACAGGGGTCTAGAGAGCGAAATTGAGCGTAACCCCAGTATATAGAGGATAGATGTCTGTCTACTAAAATTCTAGAAAAGTGTTATAGGGAGATATATATATATATCAAAAACATCACAAAGGCATTCAGCAATAAGAGCAGTCATTGAATAGTTAAAACCTGTCACTCATTTCTGCGAATTCTACACTACATGAATGATCTACTCCTCTAATGAAAACTTGAAATAAACGTGCTCGAATTCAAATCTTTGCACAGTAATTTTTCTTTTGATTCTGATAAAACTTTTATCTTGTTTAAGCATTTTGTACACATACATCTCAGACACATACATTCTTTAAGTGTCCTGGATCTTTTAATTTACCTTAGAATTGTTTATATTTGCACAATTGTGTTTTGCATTCGATGTTATTAATAAAATTATCATACAGTGTGTATGAATCATGAACATTTGATTTGCTTTAAAAATGACCACAATATTTTGTACATGTACTTTCTGATTTTCCAGGTTTTGACAGTAACGTATATATATTTAATCTACCTATGCTGTCCAGTATGGGAAGTCAGACTGACCACCAGGTGTCCAAACCAGTATTCAAACATGAAGGTCACATGCAAAATGCAAGAATGGACACTCAGGCCAAATTGTTGACCACTGTCACCCACATCCTCCATCCATTGCAACACGATCTTGTCCTGTCAGCAGCCACAGATGGTTCACTGCATGCATGGCAGTTCAATGACTGTACTGATAAATGAGAACATTAAGCTGAATGTATTGATTAGCTTATCAGGACTGTTTACAAAAATCTAGCAAAGTCCTTCAATTTCCCATTGAGATATATCGACAATGTGCTGTCTTTTAATCACAAGAAATTAACTGACTACATCGATCGTATATACAATTTGTACCTTCAAGAGCTTGAAATCAGACACCACACTCTCTTCAACTTCGGCCGCTTTCCTCGATCATTACTTGCATAATGACGGCTTACTACTAAGCTGTGCATCAAGCGGGACGATTTCCTCTTCCCGATCGTGAACTTTCCTGATAGCAACATGCCTGCTTCCCCTACCTACAGTGTTTACATGTTGCAGTTGACTGGGTACTTAAAAGCTTGTTCCGAATACCAGGATTTCTGTGGTCGATGTCAACTGCTGACGGACACACTTACAACACAGGTTTTCCAAAGAAACAGTTTGAAGTTCGCCATCAGGATCTCACAGAGATACATGTATATGTTTTTTCTTTGTGCGATGTGAAGGTCTATGTTTACGGTTATACACATTAGATTGCCTTGTGGTTTCGTCTCATTGCCCGAGTTCGCGATGTTAGGACGTGGCATTACTTGGATTTATTTATGTAAATTCAAGGTTCTATCACTAAAAGAGTCAGTGATATGTGTTCATTTACCTCCATGCTCTATAGACATTATAGCTTTGAATGGAATGAACAGAATTTTATGTTTTGCACGTAAATTGTATCGGTCAAGAAACTACATTAAACCTTTTTTCGGGATTCCATATTTCACTTGAAATGTTTCACTTCGATAAAACCGTTGCTACAATAATTATGAAGTGGTATTTAAGACAGCAATTGGCCTCCACACAAATATAATGTTTTTGGCTCACCTGTCCGAAGGGCAAGTGAGTTTATGTCATGGCGCAGCGTCCGTCGTCCGTCCGTAAAGTTTTCCTTTCAAACGCCAATTTTCCTAAACGGCTTAGTGGATTTTACCATTAGAGGGATTTGGTCAAAATTTGGCCTTGAGTATCCTTGAGCAAAAGGGACTAATTTTATTTAAACGAAGGGTATGGTCCCTCGAAGTACAGAGGGGCGGGACCAATTATGGGAATTTGAGGTTTAAATCCTCGAAGTCCTTCTTCTTACGTACCATTGAGGTGGTCGGGAGGTGCAGTGGATAGCGCACTTGCCTTTAACCAAGGCTGCCGGGGTTCGATTCCCCGATCGGACGTGAAAAGGTGTTGGGGTTAACTGTCCGATCACGAGGGTTTTCTCCAGTTACTCCGATTTCCTCCCACATTAAGACCCCCGCGCGCTAACGCCCGGGTTAACAAGAGTGTTTAATATAAGTTCAAATAACCTGTTTCATAATTGATGTAAAATAAATTAAATTTATGTTTCCAAATTTGGCCTGGAGCATCCTTCGGCAACAGTACGGGGGATAACCGATTGCGGGTAACTGTAGATACTCGCATCAAGCATAGCGGAGAGCGCAAACGGCGAGTATTAACTGACGTGAATTTTCGAAGCAAGTTGTTTTAGTAATCTGAATCGATGAGCTAGTGATGATGTGAGTAAATAAGTTAAAATGACATCGTCGATGAAGATAACTGTAAATAAATGATGTTGGTAACAGATAAGACAGTTTCAGCCGCGATGTGTCGCTGCAAATGATTAGCGCAACATCAAATACTCGCCCATTACAGCCTTTCATCTCTGTAGCACATAGTCAAATGAAGTTGTCAGTACCTTGCTATCAGTCGGTGGTTTTCCTCGGGGAATGTAGTTTCTTTATCAGTCTATCGGAGATTACAACATTTTGTTGAATATCAATCTCGAGTAATATCATGAAAAAAGGCGGTGGCATTATTTAAATACTTATAATCAAATGCAATGACATCAACGTGAACATTTTGGCACAAAGACGCTTTGGAATTAGATGAGGACATATCACGGATCTAAATCCGTGGACATATGAATTATTTACACTTTAAGCACCTTTTCCTTGTCTTCTTTTATCTCTAGATTATTAAAAATAAAGCAAAACAATATGAACAAGGTTTTTTTTGTTTGCAATTTGTACTTTGTTCTACAGCAAATAACTTCCTCTATTCTTTTCAAGATCCTAATGACCTGAACCGCCTGAGTGAGCTTTTTGTATGATTTTTTTTGCTGCAGGATACACAATGAAATATTTTTACCTGGCGAATCGCTTTTTGGTGAAAGTTCAATTAATGGTTCCTGTCAAATAGTTCCATGCCTAAAGGAATGACTTGATGAAATGCACCTCTATATAAAGTAGGGTTGTCAAACCGGTCGAATTTTAGTAACCAATCAATCAAACAATAAACAACAATAAATGTGTTGTATGTTTAGTAAATGTCTTGTTCGAAACGTATTACTTATAAATTATTACGACAGTTTACTCAAGTAAGTTCTCAGCAAATAAATTCAGTAAATACATGTAACCTTAATGAGTATAGTTTATGAGCACCGAATGGTCAGAATAAAATGGGACGGACTAAATCTATGCGATGTTATATGCGGTAATATTGATTTTCAGAAACATAATTTGATCGACATATTGATTCATAGATTATTGCACCTCTTTTAATGTTTCACTGATGTACCTATTGCAATTGTGTACTCTTGACATTATTTTTACGTCTCGCCCTCACGCACTCTGCCCAAGCGGCCCCGGCAGTTAAAAGGTTAATAAAAAGCAATTTTGTACCTGTTGGCAAAATTGACATTTCACACTTTAAAAAGTGTATACAAGCGTTTCAAGGCTTTGTCAAGGCTCGCCTGAAAGCAGCATCGGAAACGAACAATTCTAGTAGGTACAGTGTAGTAAAAATAGAGAATATTGGTACAAATTCATGAGAACAGAACGAAAAGTATTGATAACTTTTCCGTCTGTCATTTCGTTTGATAGAAAATTAGGCTGATAGATCCATCAGTCAATATTGATTTATTATAACGTGTTTGTGATTTAAACCGCATTTTGCAAAACAGTTACCCTCATCATACTCCGACAGATACCCACATCCTTACGATGTTAACACTTTCAGTTACAGGTACCAACATCACACACACTTTTTTATGCCCGATATCTCAATACTAAAGGCTACTTTCGAAGAGCGTATTTTTAAAGGCTCCGTCGTTTATATATACCATTAAGTGAATGACCTTGACCAATTTTCAAGGTCACAGGGGTCAAATGTCGTAAAATCTTCAAACGATTTCTTCTCAATAACCAAAAGACCCAGGGTACTGAAGTTCGACCTGTAGCATGCTGGGGTGAAGGACTACCAAGTTAGTTCAAATGAATGACCTTGACCAACTTTCAATGTCACAGGGGTCAAATGTCGTAAAATCTTCAAACGATTTCTTCTCAATAACCTAAAGACCCAGGGTACTGATATTCGGCCTGTAGCATGCTGGGATGAAGGACTACCAAGTTAGTTCAAATGAATGACCTTGACCCACTTTCAAGGTCAAAGGGGTCAAATGTCGTAAAATCTTCAAACGACTTTTCAATAACCAAAAGGCCCAGGGTACGGATATTGGGCCTGTATCATGCTGGGATGAAGGGCTACCAAGTTGTCGTAAATGAATGACATTGACCCACTTTCAAGGTCACTGGGGTCAGATGTCTTAAAATCTTTAAACAACTTCTTCTCAATAACCAAAAGGCCCAGGGTACTGATATTGGGCCTGTAGCATGCTCGGATGAAGGGCTACCAAGTTTATTCAAATGAATGACCTTGACCAACTTTCAATGTCACAGGGGTCAAAAGTCGTAAAATCTTCAAACGACTTCTCAATAACCAAAAGGCCCAGGGTACTGATATTGGGCTTGTAGCATGCTCGGATGAGTAATAGGTTCTTATAAAATCCTAAGATTACAAGTGTTAGATTATTAACAGGTGAGCGATGCAGGCCCATTGGGCCTCTTGTTCTGTATTGGCAGACATTTTCCTGTATTGGCCGACTTTTGGATATGTATTGCTCAGGGCCAATTTTTCTGTTTCGCGACATTAACAAACTAGTTTACAGCTCTCAGGCTGTAAGCAGATTTCCGGTTTATACGAGCTATGATTTGGGATCATATTATCTTGATCATAGTTGTTTTTAGTTTTTTTTGTGTAAAGGTAATGTTAAGTGAGTGCAATTATGTCAAAGCCATACAACCAAGGGGATCCTACCGAGGCATTCGTAAGGAGTATTATAGAGAGGGTATGTAAGATGGTCCAGCCCTCTGATAAAATGGATACGATTAAGGGAAGCACAGGTGAGAGCTGATAACTTGAGGTTCTTATATACCGCTTTATCACAACCAAGTTCGTAGATCGGCTCAAAGCGGTTCACAAATTATTATCCGTGGTTATAGGGCCTTTGCAACCAGCCAATATCTTTCTCAACTCCCTGGGCATACAGCCGGGGCTGCCATTTCGGCGCTAACAGCTAGCATTCAATAATTTTAGCACTGCCCAACCACGTAATCATGTACAGCTGAGTAGACTGAAACACGTGGAGTAAAGTATCTTGCTCAAAGATAAAACACAGAGCCGTGCCGTGACTCGAACCCGCAACCCTCTGGTCACGAGCCCGGCGTCCTACCACTGGACTACCGTGCCTCCTTACAGATACAGAATTGGTGATACAGAATTGAAAAAAAGGTCAAAGCCTGTATTTCAAAGTAAGTAGGAGGTATTAACTGTTCAGTTTGTACTTGTTGTCAAATGGCAACTATACAAAGGATACATGACGTAGAATATATGTTGGTTGTTACTAAAAGATATGCGACTATCAATGCAAGGACGAGTTTCACACAAATGCATGTTTGAACTCGGAGTTTTGTATTCTCCATTACATATAGAAGATTATGCAAACAAACGGATATTTTTAGGCTTAGACTTACTTACCTTTTCAAGGTTTTCTTCTGTCATTGTTCATGTTTAATTCCTTGTCAACAACATTTGTGAATTATAGGATTTTTAGTACAAGTTTATTATTATTATCAAATCTATTTTATCTTTTTCATTTCTTTTTCTATGTTACAATATTCAAACTTTGAACAAACGTTACTGTTAGTCTTTAAAATGTATAGCAACATGTGATAGATGTTTAGTATTTTTGTAGAAAAGAACTTTAACAAACACTCCCTGGTATAATAGACAGAATGGAAATACTGTATTTTAACATAATGGTTGACTTTTCCTTGCAACTAAATAACATGCATACGTATCCTTACCAAGTTTTTCATATTAAAAACAAAATATGTTTTCAAATTTGAATTTGGTTAATTAATTAATGACACAAGCTACATGAAAGTATCATTACGTGTAAAACAATCAAAACATTTCAGTGTAAATACCTCGAACGTAATATACAGATATTACATATTATGTGTACGGTAACATTAGTCCTTAACCAAACATATGCTCTAGAATATCTTTAAATTATACAATTTTGTGACACATTCACACACATACACCACTACCACCCCATACAAATACATTTTCTTTCCTAAAACATGAAGTGATGTATATAAGAATCCTGTTAAATTGTTAGAAAAACGTGCATATTTTGAAGTAATCGAGATCAGGGTAACAGGACATCCAAGCGGAAGTAACTGTTCCTCGCTCACGCAGAGTTAAAGGACATGCATACAGATGTTTCTCTTATCACATTTTAAACTCTTACTCTGGTACAAAACATTCTTCCTTATTTCAATTCGTTTACCGTAGTTTCTCGCGTATTGACCGCGTGCTTTAACGGGTTTTTTTAAATGTCCATTGAAGCGAGACAAAAACATAAAAAAGTGCATGTTATGTGAAATCTTTCAAACGCATCGTCGTATACGATTTAATTAGAAACAAACACACCAAATATTTATAGAATTTACACCATCGAACATTTGGATGAGAATTTTGTTTATGTAATCTGCATCGTATATTTTATCGCCTATGAGTAGTATGTAGTAAGGTGTTACGGGGCGCCATAGCTGTTCACGTCAGAATAATGAATGCTGTTACTGGTATATCAAGTATATTTAATGTAAAATAAATCAAGTGTTTCTAAAACAATCGATTACTTACATTTGTACATAGCTGTTTATGTGCAGCTAACAGCTGCATTGTCTGACGATGAAATGAACCTGGTATTCATTGCGTATACTAGTCTTTATGTAGCAGATTACCTGCAGGCAAGATACCGATGCCGCTGGCAGTTAGGGCGTAATAATTGCACCTGCTACCCCCATTGCATGATCGTTAGAGGCAATTAAATTTGGGATTTCATCTTTTCTCTTTTTCTAAACAACTTTCTTCTTCCTAATGTCCCCCTTGAAACTGCCTCACTTTTGGCCTTTAGTTGAGCGTTCGCCCCTGTGAGGAAGGCTTTGGGTTCTGTCCCCTGGCCGAGACATACCAGAGTCTGTAAAATGGTAGTTTCCTCTCCTGCTTAAAGCTCAGCAATTAAAGCGTGGGACGACTGGTTCGCCCATTGTCAGTATAATGTGACCGGTTGGGGTGTCCTGCTGGTTGTCTTCGGCAGTATGTTTCAGTGAGGTAGCACTATAAAGCCGACATCAGTTCCGCGCTATCACAAGGAGACAAACACGAACATATCGCAGCCTCCCAAAACACACACGCATGCATCATACACACAGAGAAAGCCGTCCTTAAATGATCATAGCTGTTGATAGGACGCTAAACAATACTAAACCAAACCAAACCGCTGGCAGTCTGTAGACATTATTTTTTTCCTAAAAATGAGATTTTAAAGTGTTCGGGCAATATAACAGAGCTGGCAGTTTGTACGAATTAGATGTTTAGTTGTAACGACTATAGCAGGACATAATGATAAATAAAAGTGACTGATCATCTAAATTCAAAGTGTTTTACTTGATTTAAACTAGCATTCCATGTTCCATGAGAGTAGCATCCACCGTTGCACGATGGTCAGATAACAGCGGTTAGCCATTTCGTAATATGCAAAGCGGGATGGAGATTATGTCTAAAGGAACATGTTCACGTTGCATACATTTCTGTGTAAAGCACGGTCCGATATTTGATTTACAACTAATTATGGTAGTGTCTGCTTTGTGCTTGAACCGATTGTCAAAATGAGGAAGAATATGTTGTACTCGAAAGTAGGTAAGCCGTTATAAGTGATAGCATTATCAACGAGGAACAGTCACGTCCGCTTACATGGCCTGTAGCGATAATACAGCTTACCTCAACAAATGTACTATAATGTACATGAACATGTATACCAACTTATGAAAATTATGTAGAGCATTGCATTTTGTTTTTGAGGAGATGGGCGGT